TATTATTTATATTCATCGGACTGGGTGCTGATGTGATGAGCGTTTACGAAAACGTAAAAAAAAATAATTCCAATTTGATTGTTCCGTGTAAAACGAATATCATCGTGCCCGGCCGGGTTACGATGGGCAGGCGATGTTCAATTCGATTTTCGTGAAACGCGGCCAAAATAAATCGCGATGTTACATACGTGTATGAAATTGAGTCGGATCCTTGACACGGAAAAAAAAAAGGTGACGATTTTAAATCAACTGATTTACCGATGACATTGGATGTCATCGCGCGTACATATTGGTGTATCGTATTTAAAAAATCGTGAGTATAATGCGCGATAGAAAAACAAATTGACAATACACGGGCACGCATTTACTTATGGCGTAACATAATAATCAGTATCGATGCGGTACACAAAGACGATTTTATTTCCAATACATCAGTACAAAACATCATGAGATCAATTTGGAACTGCAAACTGTTTTAATTTCAATCTGTACAGAGATGTACATTCGAAATACATTTAAGAACAAACGTAAATACTCGGCATGTACCTATTTATATAGGTACTTCTCGATTTCCTTTTTTAATTTTAATTTTTAGTTAATTCAAGTAGGTTCGCGAGATTCATTTTGAAATGTTCAACGTAAAGTTTAATATTCAACATATTTAAGTACCTATTATTATTACTTTGTACCACCTACTTAATTTTATACTGAAAAATGAAAATAAATATACCTTGTATACCAATTCTGAAATAATTTCAGACCATGAATGAATTAAACATAATTCGTTTAATGTAAATAAAGATAGTCGGTTCAACCCTAAAAATAAGACGAAAAATAACGGTAGTTTAAACCAGTATTTTTTTTGATTAATGTTTGTTCAAGGGTGAGACAACACCCAGTATATTATTATGACGCAATATTTTATGATATGGTCCGAAAAAATTAAAAATAATAAAACAATGCTGCTCTAAAATATAATGGCCAAAAAATTAGGCCGCTGTTTTTTTTTTCTTTTTAACAACGGAATAACGAACAATAATTATTCGTTATTTTTACGAGTTGTTTACGTCTTTTATAATATTATTATCAGATTGTGGTCGGCGTGGGTGTGATACGAGTACCGAAGTATCGTTTTATACAGTTATACTTAATTTATAAATAAACAATAATTAATAGCGACAGTAGTGCGGCACTCTATTATGCTTTTTAAACATCTGGCGCACGCTTATTTTTTCGAAACGTTACTCTTGTTTACAAATACACACTTATATCGGGACGGATGACGGGTAATTAATTCGAAAATCGCGCGTACTTACTACACGGTGGCTGTATTGCCGTCGCTATAATGTTTTATTTAGGTTTTTTTTTTTTTTACAAGTACGCTTAATAAAAACGAGTATAACTGATTGTAAAAGAAACAAAATAACAAAAACATACGCAGCCATAATATAATTTTGTACGAATATGCGATCCGTACGCGTCATCGTGCGACCAATAATAATGATCGAGCGATAGAACCGATTGGTATCAATACTTATAGTAGTCGCGTTTTTTTTAAGTGTTTAAAGTGCACGTTTCACGAAACCCGCGATTTTCGTTCGTAATATACGCATGGAGCGATACGTACGCGACATTTCCGGCGACGGTGCGAAGGAGGTAAAATCGAATCGCACGATTCACATAGAAACGGGTTGTTGAGCAGTGGGTGTCCGGGTGTTCAGAAATACAACTAAAATGATTATGTTTTTGAAAATAAAAAAGTCGTTAAAAAAAGTGTACACTGCGGAAATTTGATAAATTTCAATAAATTTGTGGTGCGATGGGGGGTAATTTTGGGTCGGAGTGGGTGGACAATTTATCTGGCGAGGTAAAAATACTTCTGGTCGCCGCCGCATACGCTTACGTGGTTTGTATATTGGCAGTGGCCGTTCCACATCTCACGCGAAACTATAGGTTTTCTCGGATACGAAACGTCTGTCCCCTGATTGATCGTAACATCGATAATGATGGTAGTGAATATAGTTAATACATGTATTATCTATGGTAGTAAAAAAATCGAAACGTAGATACATTTATGTATCACAGATATATTTGCACACTTTATTATCTATATCTATAGCTCTATTATCTATCCGTGGTAGATTATGTTGAGTTAGGTATTGATGGTTTTGCAATGGCTGTATAATAACTTTATTACTAATAGGTAACTTACTATTTAAAAAAAAAAAAACTAAACTTTGAAATTTATGAATTATTAAACATAAAAAAGCTAAACCAAAATAACGAATATCATCTTAAATTATGATGTGATTTTTTTTTTTAAGTAAGTATTGTCTTATTTATTTTTTTTTTGTGGATGTATTACCATGTGTTAATTGTTTAATAACTATGTAATAAAATAATAAACCTCAGTACAATACTGCAGTCGATAATATCTATACCTATAGCGCTTATTAATATCGCGAATTAGTCAATATTATCAATATTACTATCAATCAGAAGTCACACAGACGTGAAGACCTATTATAGTTTTACATCGGGCGTGGAAATAGCCACTTCGTTTTATAATACTATGTTATTCAAAAGATAATAATAATCCCGATATTGTTGGCCTTTAGGTGTTCGGGGCAGCAAAAACCAGGGGCGTATATTCAGTACAATACGCGTTAGAGGACCTTTCGCTGCGGCGGTGGCAGCGGTTGCGATCACAGCCCCACTAAAGTGCAACACTATAATACCTAGCCGTATATATATATATATGTATATGTATATACAATAATAATTTACACTCTATACATTTTGTATATTATCCGATTGTACAATTTATAATGCAGTGCGGTGCGTAAATGTGTGTATGTGTGTGCGTGTGTCGGCCGCCTTATCGGCGGCCGACCATCTTTCCGGCTCCGTAAACACTAAACACCGGTTTTAGTGAAAACCCGTCCGGTGTACGCTGCACCGCGTTTGGATATCTGGTCGTTTAATCGCGTCGTCGTCGTCGTCGTAGTCGTCGTCGTGGTCGTATTGTATAGTACTGTCTGCAGTGACGGTGTGTGTGTGTGTGTGTGTGTGTAATGCGTGTTTTGCCACCGCCGCAACACTACCGTGCGACAGCTTTTTCGTTTTTTTTTTTATTTCCGAGGGGGGAAAAAACCGAACACATTTTATTTCGGTACACGATATTACGCGCGGACGAGGGATCGAAATCGTTGTCCCGCCGACGCCGCTGTCGGTGGCGGGCGCCCCGAGAGCGAATGGAAACGGACCGAGCGTATTATTATCACGGACGAAAGAACTTGATTGGGGTTTTCGAACGACGGCGGCGCGCGCGTGTGTGTGAAAATTGGATTTTCGACCGGCACGATGACGCCGTCATATATAATAACTGACGAACATTACGATAACAACTTGTGCGGCGCTCGTATAGGGTCTCGAACACCCGAGAGGGGTTTTTTTTTACGAGTGTCACCTTATTTTAAGGATCATAGACTCTTGAAAACAGTACAATACGCGATATCAATATATATATATATATATATATTGTGCAACGAGCCCGAATTTTGAAAATGTCCCGGTTTTCGTTATCGCTATATAAGTACAGGTACGTCGTTCACCGCCGAGCCGCACCAGTGGTTTTTCAATGAGTCGACGAGGCTAAATTGATAAAACTCGATTAAAAACAAAAGGTATTACAAATACATAATAGTGCGGTACAATAATTCTTTCCGTTTAATTTAACCCTAGTGTAGTGCAATGATTATTGTTCTATTAGTAAGAAATAATATTATATTTTGTTTTACCTTGACACGGACGATGGGAGGGGGGATGCTAAAACCCTCTTAGCCCTCGATCCGGATACGCTAATGTGTACAGATTTATTAAACTATTATAATAAATTTATGTATAGATTACCGTTGCAAATGTGCATTTTCCGAGGTACGCAAAATGTGTGGAAACGCACGTTAGCTCAAGCCCAAGTTGCTCCACAAAACATTTTTCAAAAAATAAATACACTGACGGTTTTTGCATTATTTTTTTTTTTAACAAGTTGCAGTAAAGAAACATGCAGGTAAATTAAATTTTGTATCATACATGACGTACGGTTATTGAAATATTTAAACGGCCAGTGCTTGGTACAAATCTTTACTTTGAAAACCTATTTTTTTTTCTTTACAAATACCCAGAGGCTTTATTTATTAAACGACTTGAAGGTCTTTATAAATATGTTTTTAACAAGATGTATCTTACATACTAGATGCTAATATTTACTTTACACGTTGATGAAGTTACACTTCCAATGAAGTGGGTCCTATCCTTTGTTTAAATTCTTAAACTAAGTCGTATGGTTTCAGACGTTTAAGGCGTCTAATGTCTTTGGAGTTCTCTAATAATTGGACGGCCAGTGGAATGACATGGTGATCGATCGTGTCTCGTGTTTGTGATCAAACTTTTAGATTTCATCAGCTATTGTAGACAGCATTATATCGCGGTGAATAGTATTGTTCCTTTCAAATCGGTAGGCTGCAGTAATAGCTCGAAAAGCGATTTTTTGATAGCGTTGTATTATTTCAACTTATTATTATTTCAGACTTACTGGCACTACCCTACTGTTAAATGCCATAGGTCCAAATTGGTTTTATGATAGCTAAATATAGTAGACGTTTGTTTTCTATGGTTAACTCGGAGTGGGATCCAACTAACCAATAGATCTTTTGCATTTTTTCTTTAATCTGTATTTGTTTCTGACGGACATAGTGTTTCCAATCATTTCGTGGGATTAATGTTTGATTTATAATTTTGATTTCTTCTGCTTTACGTAACGTTTAGTTGACGTATATTGTCACTATTTATCTTAATTTTTTCAACGTCTCGTCTAGGGAAGGACATTGCCAATTGATTCTTGTAATTTATCAGTTGCAGTTAGCTGATTTTTACTTGTCGATAAAATTGCCGTATCATCGGCAAACATAGCAATCGTTGTGTTGTCGTCGTTTGGTACATCAGCTGTGTAGAGTAAGTACAAGTCCTAAGATACTACCTTGTGGTACTCCAGCTGATGTATCTTTCCATTCGGTTACCGCTTCTTCATGTATGACTCGGAATTGATGGTCAGTTAAATATGATTCAAAAAGTGCACACCAGGTATGTGGCAGTTGATCACGCAATTTGATGAGGACTTTGTCAAAAGCCTGAGCTACATCAAGGAACACTTTATCGCAGTAATATTTTTCTTCAAGAGCTTTACCTATAACGTTAGTGACGCGATGAACTTGATAGATTGTCGAATGTTTGTTGCGGAATCCAAATTGATGGTCTGGTATAAGATGTTTTTCTTCTATAATTGGTTTTAGACGTTTAAGTAAAAGTTTTTCTAAGAGCTTAGACAAACTTGAAAGGAGTGATATCGATCGGTATGATGTAATAACTTCTTGTGGTTTTCCCGGTTTGAGTAACATAATCTCATGTGCCCGTTTCCATTGTTCTGGAATGTATTCCAAGCGCAAAATAGCATAATGTGCGTAAGATGAATGATAGCCTTCTTTGGAAACTCTTTAAGTATTTTTGGGGTTTAAGGTTGTCATCCATTACTTTAGCAAATTTTAATGGATTGAAACCTATTTTTAAATACACATTTTAATCTTTTAACTAAACTTTAATTACGTTGTTAATGTTTAAACAATCAGTATTATACGTACAGTAACTGTGCGCTCATCCTTAGATGCACTGAAATATCGATAATATTAAATTGATACAAATATATTGTATAAATTGACGATAATTTATTGTACGTCAATTGCATTCATCTAAAATGATAAAATTTGTTCACAACGACTATTACAACATTCTTGAAGTGCATTTAAAATTTAAAAAACTGGGTGTGCTATGATATAACGTTGCGTTATAGTAATGCAGTCACGCATATTACAAAGAGTTCAATTATAAACGTGCGGGACGTGGGTACATCTACAGTTTTTTAATTAAAATGATGTCATATCTGTATATATATATATATACGTAACATAGGTAGTAAAATTATACGTTAATTATTAGAAGGTAAATGGTGACGTTTCGACCGGTATCGGAGTTTATAGTTACGAATAACAATATTTAAAGAATCAAAGCTGTTTAAAAAAAAAATACCAAAACTAACATGGCTGAAACTTTTTCGTTATTGTGTTTAAATTCTAATTTCAACGCCAAAATGTACGTTTTAAATATAAACGAAAAAACAAATGTTACAAACAGACAGACAGATCTAGCCTTTTGTATATGAAGTATGATTATAAAAGATAAAATCGAGCATAAAAGGTGATTATAGTATAAGGACCGACATAAAAACAATCGATAAAAATAATATTCAAGTATTTTAAATTTATCGGGTTATTTAGCTTTTTTTTCCTTTTTGGTTTCGCTTTTAAAATATAACTTGTTACAGTTACACGAATCCTGTGGTAACGTATAATTTACTATAATATTATACAGGGTGTCCCACGAACATATATTAAAATATGGGTATTGTTCTATAGAGCGAAAAACGAATTAAACGCTGTAGGCATATATTACGTACCTGGTATAAGATTTCCCAGCATTTTTTTTTTATTTTTTATTTATATTGTACTCACACCATTATACCTTATTTACAGTTGCCGATAATATCCCGAGGTACCTACTTTGTATATTATTATTACAGATGCGCATCAGTGCCGAAAACCCATTGTTTACACTGGCGGGAGGGAAATCGTCGTTGTTATAATCAATTACACTTACTCGTATGTTTTTAATTTTCGCTCTTTGGAATTTGTTATTGGGAGAGGAGAAACAAAACGATTTTAATTAAATTGAACATCGTCGATTGCAGTGGTGTGCAGTATATAGTGCGATAAAAATTATAAAATTTTGCGCGCGTAATTGTATTATATTATAACATGTACGTCGTGTATAATAGTAAGTGCGTATGATATTGTGATCAAGTATAGCAGCGTTACAAATAATAAAGGTGTTAACGCGTATTATATTGTGACAAACCGCTGCAGGGACGTTCGGAGAGTCGCGTATACGCGAATAATAAAAGAAAAACGAAATTAATTTCGATATTTATTTTTTTGCGCCAACACATTTACAAATTATTAAGTAATACAACAAAGATGATAATACGGGTATTCGGGTTTTTTCCCCTGGATTTTATTGTTTGTTCTTAATGTTTTTATCGAGATTAATAAACAAATGACTACACGTAAAAATAATCTATACTCATAATAATAATAATAATAACGTATTATATATTATGCGACTCCCGGGTTTTGTCCTTGGTTCGATATTAATTGTTGTCTAGTAGGCACCTATAATATCCATCATCTCTACACGGTCAACACTTATAGAATCACGTATATAAATGTTATTGACGTTGTAGAATACGTTACATTATACGCGTATACGTATACATTGGGCGTACGTGAGTAGACATTTTATTCCGTCTATTATATTGTTATAAATCAAACCGAGACCCTGCACGTGGTTTTCGGCGATGAAAGACCTTTACGGGTTTTTTAAAACGTTATTGCGGTGTTTACAGTCGATATTTCAGTATATATTGTTACGCGGGCGAGTATATATATATATATATATATATGTTTTTTTTTTGATTCTGAGCGTCTGTACATAGGGAAGAAGCCAAGCGTTTTGCCCAGATACGATGTGTTTTTGTCAATTTTTTTTGGTTTGTTCTCTAAAAAAATGTGAATTGTTCATCGAACAGCACATCGAGTGTTATTTGAAGACCGTTGATTCACGATTTCCAATAGCTTTTCATTAAACATTAATAAAAGAAACAAAAAAAAAAAACAATAATACTAACAACAATAAAAAAGAAATTTCGAACCTATATAATAAGTGGACAAAAGTTAACGGACTGAATTCGTCCCAGAAACAGCCGGATTTATGAAAAATAATTTCTGTACTATGGCCTTGGATATTTTTTTTTTTATCTGTGAGTTTCTAACTCGTGACTCGAGTTGTACAGTTATGCTTATACGTCCGGAAATAACACTCGACATAACCATTTATTTTATATTCATCCGGCTTCCTAAAACTGCATGTTAAATCATCCAATCAATATTTGAACGTCTCATGACAACAATCTTAATGATCTTGATAATGTTTAACATGATATTTAATTGATAATGATAACTGTTTCAGTAAATATTATATCCCAATCATTTGTATTAACTTATATTTTATTGTGTATTGTCTATATATTTATACATTAGATAATAATTATTAATTATTGTACTCGTATATATTATTCTATAATTATTCTTGTATATTGTTATCCATTGATTAAGCTCATTAACGTTAAAATTGTTACTTTATTCATAATTGTCAGCATTGTAAAGTATATGCTTGAAACTTGACAGTTTGTCCGTAAATAAATAAAAATAAAATACTTAATAAGCAAAACTACATTAAGTATACAACACGTTTGCATAAGTACATTGCAGTATTTACTCTCAGGGTTACGTAAAAAAACTGCTTTAATTTTTAGAAAAAAAAAAACAAACCTTTGAACAACGATAATATGATAATAGAATGAATAGGTATTTAGGTATACTATTGGGCCTATTATATAATTACAGTATATATTTTAATTATGACGTGATAATACGCTATATAGGAAAGAGATATAATATATCTATGCGCGTGCGCCTATAGCTGTACGTTTAAAAGAGTCGGTATATTATTACTGAAATTGTTTTAATTCGTATTTATAGAACATTTAGGACGTTATTCCGTGTGCCCCAGCAATTATATTCCTGCGGTACCTTATTGTAGCGTTAAAACTCACGCGATAATATGTATACATTGCAATCGTAGTAATATATTATAATAGTTTAGACGTACTTGTTACTAGTTACACACACACACACACGATATTAAATAGTTGTTAAAATATACAGGTAAACAATAATAATATTTTGAAGTTTCAAGCGAAATACGTATAATAAATAAGAAATCACGACGATAATAATAAAATACTGGGAACGGGTGCGCCACTGTTGTAAGTAGGAAGTCCGGAAGGTAGGATACGCAAAGTTATTCAATGTATACCTGTAACCGACGATAAATCATTAAAAATGAAAAAAGGATTCGGAGTGGAATTCGGTTGATAGTGTTGCTTTGTCAACAATACATAATAAGTCATATTTTGATAAAATAATTATATGTACATTAAACAAACATTGATATTTCGTCAAAATTTGAATTTAAACTCATATAAAAAAAAAAAACAATAAATTAAACTAAATTTTTTGTTAAACCGTTATTTATAGTTTATAATATACCTCTTATCATTGGTTTTAAACATTTCAGTTAAGTCTAACAATTTATCTACAAAATACTTACCGAATAAAAATTAAGTAAAAAAAACTAGCAAACTTAAAATATCTATAAATAGTTCAAAATTGCTCAAATATTTTGAACGTTTTACCACGTTTAGAAAAAGTAAATTTAAGTTTCTGTTGATATTTTAAGTCTCTATGAATACTTTGAATTAAATTACATTAAAAATAAAATAATTTTTTTCATACATTTTCCAGTTCTTTTACGTATTTTTCGGTTTTGCTCAATTATTGAAAAAAACTGTGTTACACTTAAAAATTGGAGCAAAATCTCTGGTAAAAAAATTGTCCACAGAAAAAAAAGTAAATATTTTTGTAAGAATATAAGCTTTTTCGCTCCTTTCAGAAAATAAAACACGATAAAAGCAACCGTTGGTAAATTATAGTATACGTTGTCATATTGGTAAGCATACGGGTACCGTCGTGTTACTCGCTTAACTCCTTCGACCGCGTTTATTTGTATTTCTTAAAAAAAAAAAACGAGCTGATACTGGGGATGGAAACAGCCACTTTTGTAGGTGAGAATCTGAGAAGGTAGGATACATAAAGTTATTTCGTTTATGTTTGTTAGCAACGATAAACCATTGCTTGACGAAACACGATTCCGACCGCAGTTCGGTAATACATAATTTGAAGTGCCGTAATTTATTTTTGCGATTTTCGTTTAAATTAAAAGTCGTCCGATGATTTTGGGAATTTCACCACGTCTAAGTAAATCCAATATAAGTATTATTACCAAATTTCAAGTCTCCACGTGTATTTATAACCGAATTACAGCAAACAAACTGCCAAAAATTAAAATTCCTTAAAAGTTCAAAAGTTTTGATGATGATACTGTAAAAAAGTAAATCAAAAAGGCAAAAACAAAGGTCTATTGTTATTTTTCCGTTAAATAATTTTTTATGGTGGAAAACGTCATCCGTGTTTTTACAAAATAATGAAACCTCGAAATTTGTACGTTTTCCTACGTTTTTTATCCACTCAAGCGCTTTTATCTAAAAAATGACGTCGAAAATCAAACGACTCGAGCTTTCGGTAAAGTCGCTACACGTAAAAACCGG